TGTCCCAGGAATGGAAGCCACCAGGTCTCTGCTGTGCTTGCTGTCTAGTGCAGTGTTGCTACGCAGACTCCAAGCAGCTCCTGATCAGTCTGGAGGTCTGCAGAGGTTGGGGAGCGGGGGGTGGGGAGGCCCTCAGAGCTCTGGTTGCAGTGTCTCTGGTGGAGAGCAAGGAGTCCTACCATTCTCTCTTCTTGTCCTTCCCCATAGATGTCTCCCCCAGGTACCTTTCTCCTTCACTCTGAGTGTCCTCTGTTACTGCTCTGATGATTCACAATGCTTTTTTCAAGAAGGCCCATCCATAGATGGGCATCCACTTGCAACTTCTGATCCTCTCCTTGAGAGCAGCACATGTAGGCTGCTACTAGTCCCCCCCCACCCCACGGCTGAACTTTCAGTGTTCTCCTGTTTAATATTTTAATGTGGTTTTACTGTCTCCCTTCATCTTACATTGTATTGTAATGAAGATTTTCTTCATTTCCCTCTTCAGAAAATTAGTGGAGTTTATTCTCGTCAGGACAAATAGGCACCTAAATGTTGGCAGTAGACATGGGGTGTTGATGGTTTCTGGAGCCTTTCATGTGACATCAGTTAAGGTATTGTCAACTCGCTCATAAGATCAGCTGAATCACATTAATTTTGATGCCTGATTATCCTAACAGGTATAAAACATTCTTGCTATCACACAGAAGTTCATTTATTTTCTTTATTATGACTACAAAAATAAATTCTATCTCTGTATTTGGTGGGTATCAGAGATCTCAGGTAATGTCAAAATAAACAGAATCCCAGGTACAAAGCCTAGGTTCATGATGCTACAACTTCTGTATGGAATTGCTTATTTCAAGTTTGTTAAAAAGTTTCTCAAGTCTTCTTTTGTGACAGTGCTGTATTTGTTGTGCTTAAAAGATTTTTCATTGTCTCTCTTTCGTATTTTTATTCTTCTCCTAAAAAGATCAAAGACATTGTGGGGAATTTCCAAAATGAAAGTGTCAAATAAAAGGCTAATCTGTCATTTCATGTAGGTATGATATTAACTAATCCAAGTAGAGCAAGAAAGAATATATCTGTCATGAGTTCATTGCTTACATTCAGAATATTCTTTGTTTGTACTTTTGTTGGAATATTAACAAACCGCTGTGCATGTTGCAGTGGCATGTTGAGCTGCCATTTTTTTTTTCTTTTTTTGCAGTTTTTGGCCAGGCCTGGGTTATGGGGCCACCTCCGGCATATGGGGCCACTGCCCTACTCCTTTTAGCCACAGGCGCTGCCCTGTTGAGCTGCCATTTTTAACCAGGCTAGAGTTAAAATGAAGGTAGTCATTTATTATTTATCTGTGTGAAAGACAGATAACCTTATTTTACTAGTGAGCAAAAGAATACACTGAATCTTAAACTTCTTTTTAATTAAGTTCAGGCGTCCTCAAACTACGGGCTGTGGGCCACATGCGGCCCACCTAGGACATTTATCCAGCCTGCTGGGTGTTTTTGCCGCCGCTGCCTGTCCTGCTTAGCAGCTGACTTGTCCTGGGGCCCTTAGTCTGGCCCTCCAACGGTCTGAGGGACAGTGAACTGGCCTCCTGTTTAAAAAGTTTGAGGACTCCTGATTAAGTTGAGTTAAGTCTACTAAAAGTTGGAACACAAATATGATGTCACTGGAATAAAGATACACTTTTAAAAATTGCTATATTTTTGTAGGGCTCTCTGATAAGCCTTCCATCCAGGGCTTGTTCCTGGACTAACAGGAATAGCTCAAGGATGCTTTGCAGAAACCATAAGGGGAGGCTGGAGTCCAGGACAGATCTGGAAGAATCATTATATTTATTTTTGTGATTGGTTAGTTAATTAGTTATTGTAGGTAGTTAAGATTTTCCCCCAGGTCAGGTATTTTGTCTTCTTAACAAGGTTGATCAAGCAAAGTGGATATTTTTGCATGGATATTTGACTCATTTTGGCATTCTCTGCTCTTGTTTTAATGTTAATATTAAATATTAACATTTAAGTTTAGTATTAAATTTAAATTTCTGGCCATGGTATGCTATCCTTATAGGAAGATAGTAACATTTAAAAATGTTGCTACTGCTTTCAAGGACTCCAGTCAACTATTCTCTTAACTAACAAATATTTACTGAGCCAATAAACTGTGCCATATGTCAGCAGAGGAGGAGATAACCGAGTCGCCTAGTTACTTTCTGTACTCATGACTGCTTTTTTAGCAGAGCAGATACTGAATCAGTAGCATTGAATAAATAATTTTCAAGGGAGTTAGGAACAGAAGGCCAGTGAGATGTTGTTTTGCAGTGAGTATTGCTGTATCCCTGTGGGTTGGAAGAGTTCCAGGCATATAGTAGGTCCTCGGTGCACACTTGTTGAATGAATGAACAGCTGGCTATGCGGTTAGAGTTATCAGAGTCGAGTAAAGGATCATACTTCCTGTAGGGCTAGTCTAGGAAGGCTTCATGGAGTAGGTGGGATTTAGTCTCTGAAAGAGAGGGAGGGCTATCTAGAAATAGGGTGTGGTATGGAGGCTCCTGAGGAGATGCGGGAGGTTGACAGTCGTGGGGCAGTGGTAGGGAATCAGGCTGGAAAGCCAAATTGGGGAAAGCACTGGGAGACAGGCTTGTGTGTCCCTGTGGAGTGGAGAGCGAAAGAGATGTTTTAGAAATATTAATCCAGAGGTGTTAGACCACCTGCATTGAAGGAGAGAAGCTGTGAGCACAGATTGGCAAATTGGGTAATTAAGTGGGTAGGGGGAGGGGAAGGAAGACGTCAAAGGTGGTGACAATCTTGTTTTGAGCTTGACTGACTTAGATAATAATAAATGCATAAACAAAAATAGGACAGTCAGAGGAGGAATAAGTTTTTTGTGGGAAGATTTTTGTATTTTAGATTTCTGAGAGTTTAAAGTAACAGGGTCACTTGATGTGAACTGATAGAAATCACAGATCCCTGGAATATGAGACCTGAGAGGGATCTCAGAGACTCACATACAACCCTGCGGTCTTGCCAGTGAGAAAGCTGACTCAGTCAAGGAACAGCCCCCACACATGCAGTCTCTGGCCTGTGGCAGACACGAGCCAGGTGGCAGAAGCGGAATGCCACTTACAGGGTTTTCAAAGGTACTTAACAAGTGTTCCTTCACTTGCACTTGGAGTCCTCCTTTTAAATTGGAAGAAACATTGTATAAATAACTGCCGGTAATGCATTTGGAGGTGTCATCTGTACCATAGAAAAGCCCCATTGTAAGACTGAAATAAAATCCTTTAAATTGTAAGCAGTGTATGGCGGTGCCTGCTCAGTGGGTAGGGTGCCGGCCACATACATAGAGGCTGGCAGGTTTGAACCCAGCCCAGGCCAGCTAAAACAACAATGGTAACCGCAACAAAAAAATAGCCGGGCATTGTGGCAGGCACCTGTAGTCCCAGCTACTTGGGAGGTGGAGGCAGAGAATTGCTTCAGCTCAAGAGTTGGAGGTTGCTGTGAGCTATGACACCACAGTACTCTACCCAGGGTGACAGCTTTAGGCTCTGTCTCAAAAAAAAAAAGATAGTAAGCAGTATATGTATTTATTCTTACTAATAAATATAGTCTTACCTTGCCCCCCAAAGTCGTATTTGTAATGAATTTCTTTGTTTTAATAATATCCTAATGTTTATACATTTAGTAAGTTCTATATAGTTATCACTGAGTTGAAACATACCTAATTCTCAACATATTTTGCACTGCAAATGTTCTGCTAGACTTTTGATCACAGGTCTGGGGTGTCATTGCCGCATAGAGGGGAAAGCAGCTGCTTAGGCTTCCTGCTGTCATCCTCTCTAGATGGGTCTCACCCCATCTACCCTTCTGCTTGGGATGTTACTGGGAATAAGGGGAGTGGTTGTAAATGCGTTGGTCCTGGATGCATGTTACGTACTAGAGGGCTGAGCTCTGAAGGGGGGTGAGGCGAGTTCTCACCTTTGATGTAGCTACTTCTGTTCTTCACGTGAGGATAGGAAATAATGTCCGTCTTCCAGCTCACACCCTTTCTATCTGCCTGTCCCAGACCTGAAGGGGCAAGTACAACACTGGCCTAGTCTCTGGAGCCCTTAGGTGATCTTCTAAAACTGAGCATTCTGCTGCCTCCAACCATCTGCCTTCTGGGTCTACAGCTCAAAGGAAGAAGAGTGCAGAACAGATATGGAAAAAGAGCTCCCTATTTCTTTTCCCCAATTGAGGGAGACATGGAAGGGAGTGACTGGGGAACGTGTAGCATGAGAACAGATGGGAACCAGCTCTTTTAGATTAGAATGAACGATATGGAATGGTGGGATCTGGACCATCACTAGTGAGGAAGCAAAATGACCATTAACTATTAACATCTAGTAATTTGCCATCATAATCCTAACTGCTGTTTGGAGAATTTCCTCTTTCTTAAATTGCAGTGATAGCACAGAGATTAAAAAGAATGTTAGTTTTACAAGCTTATTTTAAATCAGTTCCTAGTAGTAGTAACTGTTTTCATCATCACAGGAATGCTGAGAGTTTATTCACAGTCTATAAGGCCACGCATTTTAGGATTAGTGATCATTAAGAGATGACAGGGAAATCTTAACCAACTGATACTTGGCACTGGAGGAGAAGCGGAGGTAGATGGACTTGGTGAATTCACTTGTCTGAGGCTCCAGGTGGTGGGCTCGTATACATTAGTAGGAACCATTAGCTTTGGATGAATGTATAAAATTTCCAAGTATTAGTGGGAAACTTGTAGCATCGCTAGGTAGAATATTTCTAGATTGGGACTAATGAACTACTTTTCAACCTGAAGGCTTCAGGAATAGGCAGGCTCCTGACTCTGCAAATACCAAATGAAAAGCCAACCCACTATTCTTGGATTTATAGATCCAATATACTAGACTGAAGAACACTTGCTCTTTTTAGCTAGGGGAACTATCTGGCCTCTGCATGCTGAGTTTCTATGGCAATGTGATCTCAGTGACCTCTCTTCTCTATTATGGAATGTAGGTGAAAAGAGCGGAGGGGAGCCTGATGACGCAGAACTGGTAAGGCTCAGTAAGAGGCTGGTGGAAAACGCAGTGCTCAAGGCTGTCCAGCAATATCTGGATGAAACACAGAATAAAAACAAGCCAGGGGAGGGGAGCTCTGTGAAAACTGAAGAGGCCGATCGGAATGGCCATGACAGTGAGAACAACAGGAAATGAGACCGAAAGGCAGGTTCCCGCTGCTCCCCGAGAAGCATCCTGCTCCCCTCTGCTGAGTCGAGGGACTGACTTGCAATGTGCTGTTTGAGTTTCTCTTGTTCAGTCCGTGGAGATTGCCTAATATTTTTGTGATTGATGTGTTTGCATTTCTGGAACTTGACAGAAGAAGGATGGAGTGCTGGGACTGGCAGAGGAAATTAATTTATGAAAGAACATCCCAAGTTTCACTTGCCCTCCGCCATACACAACAGAGCAGTGACTTGGGTTGTGCCTCCTGGACACAAAGGCCGTGCACGAGGCCTTGCCATAAACAGAATACTGCCATTTATATCGATTAGCAGGGCATGTGACTACTTTATCTGAGGACAGAACTCTCACACACAGCTATCCAGTGCTAAGGGTAAAATAATCACTGTTGAAACGCTCATCTGTACAATTAGTCCATAATATTTTGTGTTTGTCCTAAGTGTGCTATTGCTATGCAGTGATCTGTATTTATAGTAGATTATGTTCTATGTAAATGATATATTTTTGGTGAAATGCAACCTTTTCTATAAAATGTGGCCAACATTTTAAAGGTTTTTTTTTAACCTTCATTTTGATAAGTCAGTGTGCCATATTTAATGTTTTTCTTTGGCATTTGTACTTTAAAGGTATTATATAATTTTTTTTTCTTAGGCAAGAAACCTATTGGAATTCAAGACTTAATTGATGAAGCTTTGCGTCAAGAAAGGATGAATCTGAAGTCCAAAGTGAAACAGATAAGGGAACTTTTATTAGAGCCCGAGACTCAGGCCAAAATTAGAAGGGAGCTTTTTGAAGGAAGACTCATTAACTACAGTAATCAAGCGAATGATGTTGATTTGGGTATGACTTTAACATAAGCTCTGACATTGCTGTTATGGCAACATAGTTTGTGAAATCTTTTCAGCTTATTAAATAACTCTTTGGTAAATACTCCAGAAATGTTCTGGTAATTTCTGCACAACAGCAAATCAGCATTTGGTAAGAAATTAACAATTTCTTGCTAAAGAAACTGATTCTGCCCTTTTATTTTTTGAGCTAAACTTGTGTTTTAGAATGTCTGTTTCTGTAATATTGATAGTTATTTTATAGAAATGACTTCTTAATTAGCTGTTGTGAGATGTTTCTTGGGTCCTTACAGATAACAATTATAGACTGTGAAAAAATCATCTACAGACAAAAACAAAAAAAAAGCCAACAACAGTATTTTAAGGGTCACTAGCCTCCTGTTAACATGATTGTTATAAAATCAAAAGAAGCATTGTCCAGGTTTGTCTATATCTAGTGTTACTTTCAATGAGAATTTGAATGTTTATTGAATATTAGTACTTGAACGAACATTTATAAATGTTATTATCGCAATCACTGGTTAAGAATGTTTTATAATACCTGTATATTATTTTTCACAGATCAAAATGTAGTTTGCTTTTTCATTTCTTAATGAACAAATGTTTGGGATTTTTATTTTCTACTTTTTTGAAGATAAGCTCCAGGTTTTATCATATCCCTTACAATCTGAATTTGTTTGCACTGGTTTATTTTTAAAGAGCACTCTTGAACAATTTCCCCAAATATGATGATTATTGTTAACAGCTTTCTCTATACGTTGTAAAATTGCTGCTACCAATAAATCATGATGGAGGGGGAAGTTATTGGAGATCAAATATGTAATCATTTCAAATATAAAATCCAGTTTACTCATGGATTTTAGCTATTTTTTCACTGGGTAAATTATACTACATTTATTTATAAATGAGTTTATGCATTTTCATGCCTCTTAATAAATGCATTGTTTTCCCTTGTTGCCTTCCTCATTTTTTCCCTTGCCCTTGGAAGTTATTGGATCTGTGTGGTATAAGGAAGTCATAGATCGGAGCTCCGATAGTTTCAGCGTCTCCTCACCTTTCTGTTCCCGTCCTTCGTGCTAAGATAGCACCATTATCAAAGCATGTTTGACTTTAGACTTTTAAATCATTTCAAGTCCGTCAGCTTCACAGGGAATTCACAGCAGAACTTTACATTCAAAGAAAATCTAAATAACATCTTATAAACAGCTAAGAATAGGTCACTGCAGTGGCATCAGTAGCAAAGATGAGAGGAACAACCCACTGAGGCACAGGAGGCTGGAGTGCTTGTCACAAACCCCTGTCAGTGGTAGGTAGAAGGGTCTTACTCTTCATAGATGGCTTCCTTAAGTAAATCCTTAAGGTAGGACGCAAAGATATGTTTTGGCCTTACCTTGTTTTTTAAATGAGCAGATTCTAAAAGGTGGAGTGCCTCACTCAAGGCCACAGTTATTAGGGAACTGGATCTGAATTACAACCCAGGGCTCTATGTCCGTGTACCCCCATCCCATAACCTAAGTTACCAATATTTCAGAAGAGATAGCACTTATCCTCATGTATCTGTAAAGATCTTATCCTCAAGGAGCTATTCCCAATCTGCCTGAATAATTTGAAAGGCTAAAATAGTATACTTTTTCCAATTTGAGGTTATGGGTCTTATTATTACTTTATTTGCAAATTATAATTTCCATTGTTAAATACCTGCTAAGTCCCAGGCTGTGTGCCAGGTGATTTTAGCACATGATTAAATTTCTTCCCCTCAGTGACTCTGTTAGGAAGCAATTAGTACTTTTGTAGATTAGGAAACTGGGGCCATATATGGTTAAATGGCTCAAGGTCATAAAGTTAATACAAAGTTGGGCTAAATTTAAACACGGATCTGTTCTACTTCAAAGCTGACAGACACTCTTTCCACAATGCAACACTTCCTCTCTCCACCAAGTACAATGTATTTCACAAAGTCAGGGTGTGTTTGTAACAAAGGGAAAGTCACGTTCTTTTGACTAACCAGCTCCTTTGCAGCCCTGAATGTCTATGAACACATTTAAGAGTGATTCACTGATGTGATGGAACTGGGGGAAAAACCCCAAAACCCAGATATTTAATTTAGGCATTAAGGATTCTAATCTTTAGCAATGAAATCTCCATTTAATCAAGTTAATGAAGACAATAGTAAGTGTAAAATAAAACAAGTTTTCTTTATTTTCTGTTTTAAAGTCAGTAAGACATTAATTTGTAAAAATCTAAGTTTGGGATCTGAAATGTTTACAGTGATTTTATTCTCATTAATCAGAGTCATGAAATAATTTCTTGTTGGCCCACACAGCCAGAGAAGGTGTCATAAATTGATAACTGTATAGCCTTGTCTTCTGGTGGGTTAACTGCATGGTTGGTGAGAGTGCTGGCTTAGGCCAAGAGACGAACTGTCTTTTCCTCTCAAGTTCACTACTGACATGTGACCTTGAGCAGACCGATTCATTTTTGTAAGTCTCACTTCCCAGTCTGTAATTTGAGAGTTTGGCCATGTGATTTCCAAGGGTCCTAGAGCAGTGCTCTTTGTGGCCATTCTGCCCTGCTCCACATGCTAATGCCTGTGGGGGCCTTCTTGATGGTGTCACACTCTTCCATCTGTTGGCAATGAGAGGCTTTGAGTTCTAGAAACTCTACGTTCTATTTGGTTTGTGTTAATTGTCCGTTTTATGTAGGGAAGACCCATTGGTACATATTTACAGTTACAACCACATTTCAACATTCGGGGATGAGTCACTGGAAAATAGTAGATCCTACATGAATATTTTCAGGAATGTCAAAAGGTAATATTATCTTTTTAAAAATTGTTTCAGGCTAATTGGGGGTACAAAGAATTAGGTTACAATGTTTGCATTTGTTAGGTAAAGTCCCTCGTATATTTGTGTCCCACTCCCAAAAGGTGTATCATACACTGTGAAAAAAGTAATCTTTTCAACAGCAGGACAAGATTTTGTTAGCTTTGAACTTGGTCACATTTATAGCGTCTTAGATTGTTCTTGTATCAATCTACTTCTCAGTGTTGACTAACCAGATAGAGGCCTTTGAGATACACTAAATTTATATCTGGTAAATTTTAATATTAGTTTTTAATTTAATAAAAATCTTAATTTTTAAGATTAATAATTTTAAGATTCAAATTTTGTGTTTCAAAATTCCAAATGTGTCGCCTCTGAATCATTCCAAAAGCCACATATTCCCATGAGGAAGTAACTAAAGCAGTTTGACTTGATAGTCTAGATGTCATTTCAGACATATGACCAAAAAGATGTGTTTGCTGTCCTCTGTATTCAATCACAGATGAGTCAGTCAGCTGCCACATCATGTGACAAATTAAGAGTTTATTTCATTATTCAATCAAAGATAATAAATGCACAGTATCTCCAAACATAAAATGATGGATGGATAACATATCATCAGTGCTTTCAACACTTTGAACTCTTACCTATAATATTTTTTTTCCCTTGGGAAAAAAGTCTCACTCTGTCACCCTGGGTAGAGTTCTGTGGCTTCATAGCTTATAGCAACTTCAACCTCTTGGGCTCAAGTGATCCTCTTATCTCAGCCCCTGGAGTGGCTGAGACTACAGGCACCTGTCACAACACCTGGCTAATTTTTTCTATTTTTAGTAGAGATGGGGTCTCACGCTTGCTCAGGCTGGTCTTGAACTCCTGAACTTAAGCAATCCACCCATCTTGGCCTCCCAGAGTACTGGGATTACAGGCACGAGTCACCGTCCCCGGCCAGCGCAATGTAAAAGTAGTCTCCAGGTTCTTACATGAATTCAATAGCAATAAGACAAGCCCTGAGATTATTTCATCCACAGAAAAAATGAATATTAGAGTACTTCTCTTGGAGTCAGTGCATTTACAATTGTGATACTGGCTACAACACTTCTTTCTTGGATCACAATTTGGGGGATAATAGGCTTGTTTATAAGGTAATTTGAGAGCTTCTGACGAGAAGTGCTATTATCATCTCCAGGGTAATATATTCAGAAGTACTTATTGGAATCCATTAAATGGAACCAATAAACTCAGGTGATTTGGGATGATTTTAAAATGTAAACTGCAATATTTATTCTTCTACATATCCCATCATTAGTCACTTATCAGAAGACCATGAATTTCTGTTATATCATCAGAGGAACAATAGAACTGAGAAATTAATTCATTGTTTCCAGTAAACCTATGATGCTTTCTCTTTAGTGGTTCTGAAAAGCTACTGTCATAAGGAGTACCAACAGCTGTAAAAGAATTACAGTGCTGAGGAAAGAAGCAAAAATGATATGTATGCACCATTCAAAAAAAAATCAGATACACTAAATGAGGTGGAGAAAATAGCTTGAATATGCAACAGTGAGGGGAAATGAAGCCTATGTTTTTTTTTTTTTTTTTTTTTTTGAGAGAGGTCTCACTGTGTTGCCCTCGGTAGCGTACAATGGCGTAACAGCTCACAGCAACCTCAAACTTTTGGGCTCAAGCTATTCTCCTGCCTCAGCCTCCTAAGTAGCTGGGACCACAGGCACCTGCCACGGTGCCATCTTTCTGTTGCAGTTGTCATCGTTGTTCAGCTGGCCCAGGCTGAGTACAAACCCAACACCCTCAGTGCATGTGGCTGGCGCTGCAACCACTGTGCTATGGGCACCGAGCCTGAAGCCTGTCTTTTTGTGATTCTGGAAGACAAAATTAGAAGATATTTTTAACAGGTCCATGCTCAAGAAGTTGTCTTTAGGGAGAAACATGTGACAAAGGCTTTGGATGGTTTTGATGGACATTTGTCACACTTTGTGACTGCCCAGCATCTTTGGGACACCTTTCCTATGTTTGCATGGCAGAGGGGAGCAGCAGCATGGTCACCCAGAGCAGCTGGCAGTGTAAGGGGGCATTGTTCCTGCTGTTTGGCCCCTCAGCATGATTCTCTGGACCTTCTAGGGGATTCTGTGAATTACCAAATAACCCTTTAATAAGTTCCTTTCTCACTTAAACTAGCTAAAGTTGGTTCTGTTATTTGCAACTAAAAATCTTGATGAATATGGGCTCTACTCCTCTAAATTAGTATTTCAGTGTAGGGCACAACTGGCATGTAGGTTTGGCTACCTTTTTGTAGAGTGGGATGATTCTGTACATAATGAGATGTTACTGTTTCGGATCCCCAGAATCAAAATGCCAGCACTGCAGTTATTGTGACACCCAAATGAGCCCCACATATTTCCCAGATCCACTCCAGGTTGGGGGGTGGTCACACAACCCCCAGCTGAGGAGCACACAGTGCTTCCCCTGTGCAGAAAGAGGCAATGCTCCTTCTCATCTCGACTTTCTCAAGAAGTAATTTAGTCTCACTGGGATCTTGTATACCATTATACCTGTTTCAGACAGAAACAGGAAGTGAAGTCACCTGCATTATTATTATTAATATCATTATTATATATTTTTAGAAAGAGTTTCACTCTGTCCCCCTAGGTAGGGTGCCATGGTATCCTACTTCACAGCAACCTCAAACTCCTGGGCTCAAGTGATCCTCTTGCCTCAGCCTCCTGAGTAGCTGGGACTACAGGCATGTGCCATAACGCCTGGCTAGTTTTTCTATTTTTAGTAGAGATGGGCTCCTGCTGTGGCTCAGGATGGTCTCATACTCTACCTGCCTTGGCCTCCCAGAGTGCTAGGATTACAGGCATGAACCATCACACCCTGCCTACCACCTGTGTATTTTATGTGACATAAAACACCCAGACACTGCACTTGGAAAATGGCAGAGAGGATCAATTGTGATGTAGTTATGATGTCATTGTTGCAAACATTTTTCTGGTTTATATGCTTGTTTGGGCAAACTTAGAGAAAAAAAGATAACCTCCGCATTCTAAAACAATATGACATAAGTAACATATTAAATAATAGGACTATTATTAATTTTAATAAAAACATAAGTTAA